TAAGCCCCGTCATTAGCTTCTATAAAAGACCTCAAACAAAGGCCGGATACCATTTCACTCAGGGCTCTCACTAAGCCCAGAACCAAGCTTCGTGTCTAAAAGTCAAGGACTCCAAAGTTATCATCGTGAAAAGAATATTTTCCTCATTAGCAACCATCCCAGATACAGCTCTGGAGGAGAGCAAAGGCTCTGTAGAGTCAACACCAGTCCAAAGTGCTATCACACGCAATTAGATTACCCGATAAACGCTGACCAGAGTTAGCCTGGGAGAGCCTTTGCCCCTCCTGCCTCCAGGGGGAAGATTGACAGAATAATTCAGGTACTGACTAAACAGTGCGATCTTTGAAGAGCTGACCCCTCGTTGTGATTGCCTGCAGGAAACCGAATAACCATTATAAAGGGCTCCATGGCTGGGCTTCTGGAAATCTTTTAAAGAAAAGTGGAACTGGTTAAAATAAATGTAGGAACATGTGTTTTCACAGTGTTGCTCGTATTACTGCAATTTCAAGTTTCTATGAAGTACCAGGTGAACTTTTTTAAATTAAAAAAACACACACGCACAGACACAGTCAAGATTGGAGCAAATCTCAGCCATTCAATCCTTGTTTTTCAAGCTGAAAACGAAGAACAGATGGTACTTTCCATGTTGTTTGAATCTGGTTATTGAACACCTCTGTGGTTAGGGAGATTTCTGCTTAGCACGTTCGGCATACATTTCATTTACTAACTATAAAATGCTGCTTAGGAAAAATAAGTCTTTATAACACTCTAATTAAAACCATCTTACCGCCAAGCAATTTCACTTGAAGAGCATTCTTAACCTGGTGACATGTGGACAATGCCTCCGCACCCCACGCCCCCCTTTTTTTTTCTCCCAGACTATTTGCAAAGTTATTAAAAGTTGCTAAACATTACTCATCTCCTTTTAGCATGATCTTGATCTGTAGGGGGTTTGTTTGTGTTTTTTTCATCTCTCCACCATGCCAGCTCCGTTTCAAATAATTTGTTCAAGACTCAGGGATATGCTTGGCCACACAAAGGCTCCCAAGTTGCTTGGGTTCACAGAAAACTTGCTCAGGGAAGGACCGCCTCTGCATCTACCTCAAAAAAGCCCTGTCACCCTCCCAGGCCGCTCAGAGAAATCTGAGGAGCGGGACCAACGCTGACTGGGAGCCCAGCCTTAGTTACCAACGTTTTTAACCGCAAAATCCCTTATATGCAGCTTTCCAGACAGTTTGCTGTCCAACAACAATGGACTTTGTTCTTTAATTATAGCAAGTGACCTTTCTGCCCTTTTATTTCACAGCAGATAAACTGTACTATCTAAGCAGAATTTGTAGGGGACACCAAATTTGGGGGGCTGGGGAGGGAGAGGCAGGCATACGGTCCCCACAACTCATTAATCAAAATGTTCCTAAACTGCTCACACTCACTTAGAAAATGTGCCAGAATTCCCTAGTGAAGTGTAAAAGGCTTCTCCAAGAGAGTAAAATAAAATGAATGATACCCTTATAGACAGGTCCATTTGTAGACACCACCTTTAGGCTGTTAGGGACCGGCGTAATGAAAGCAATATGATATCAGGAAAGTAATTCTCCTTCCTGAATATGCACTGAGTAGTCAGAACCCTGAGACACGACTATAAGCTCTCCTGTGCCTTTCATGTCTATTTAAGTATTAGATGTTTTTAAGAATTCTCCTATGTCGTTGAGAATTTTCCGGCAATGAAATAAAACCATGTACCCTGTTTAGCCCGGCCGAGTGCCTGTGTCTGATAAGTCAAAACTCTAATAAGACGCTAAGGAGAGCCTCTGTAGAGGTTCTTAGGCTTTCAAAGAAAGGAGGGGGAAGGTGGAGAAGCAGGTTTTAACAACCCAAAGCCAACCCGTCAAATCTACTTATTCAGACATGTCACTGGTGGCTTAACCACAAAATGGGCTATAGAAATATAGCTCAAACATCTCAGAATTATGGCATGTTTTGATTTCGTTCACGTATTAAGGGAGTGGCGACTTTTACAACATACTTGTGGTTTCCACATAAAGGAGTAGAACACTCATTGATTTAATTAGGTTTCATAAGGTCCAATTTATCATGTTTTACATGACTTTGTGTAGTGTAGAAACAGAATAAACAGACAAAAATAGACATTTAAGCATGCTGTGAAAATTAACCGGTGACAGCAAGTCTTATCAATTTCCTGTGAAACCTTTCAAAGGGGGGAGGGGGTGGAGGAGACAGAGGAAAAGCTGCCGCACATCAAACCCCCTCCTTGGGTTTTCACGTTTGGCCCCTCGTGAGCCGCACCTGATTGCTGAAAATTAATCATCTTCACTTGTGAGACCCTTACTCGTCACCGGCCAAGAACATCAAGCAAGGCGGAAATTAAAACATTCAACAAAACGTCAGAAAACCTTTCTCTGAAGATGCCTCGGTGTGGAAATAGGTAAAGCGCGCCCTCCTTGTACCTCCTGAAAGGGTAGCCTCCTCTCGTTGGAAAGCAGTCCCTAAATTGAGGTCTCATTTTCCCAGCCACGAGCTAGTGGAATTAGAGTGACCCCCCCCCCGCCGGGGTGGCATGTGGGGGGCAAGGGAGTGCCATCTCCGCGTGGCCAGGAGGCAAGCCTTCTTAAGAGAAGTGGTGAGGTGAGGTGAGGTGAGGTGGGGGGGTGGGGAGGGGGTAGGGGGGAAAGCCTAAGGATCAGCGTTCCTGAGCCAACACCCCCCTCCCCCTGCTAGACAGAGAATGGCCCGCGCTGCAGGATTCAAGCCCCTCGGAGCCATCCCTGAAGGGCCCCCGTGCCAACACCAGCCGTCACGGTTGGCGGAGGGGGTGGGCTGTGTCTCAACGCGCCAAGCTTTCTCCTCCCCGCCCCCCCTCTCCCCTCCTCCACCCCGGCCCGGCCCCATCGCGACTTGTTTGCTCTTCGTTTATGCAATTCGTATCATCCCATTTATCCTGCTCTGCCTGAAGATGAGTTGCACGTAGATGAATAATTTAATTCCTCCATTCTTTCTCCCGTTTCCTCTATGACTGGAAAGTGAGGAAGAACACAAAAACTGGAGAACCGACACCGTGCTCTAATCTCAGTTGCCATGACAGCAGCCTTTGAGATACTGAAATGTTCCGATTGCCAGCTAAACAAAATTGTTGAATGTGAACATTTGGCTGGAAGATTAAAAGGCTAAGGGGAATGCAAAAGGGCAGTACCTCCCACATTCCAGGCAGCCGTGAATCCAATCAAATGCCTCTGACTCCTTAACCACAACCATTGTGAGCACTGGATTAGGGCAATTCATCTAGATAGTTAGAGCAGATTAGAAGTGCAATTTGAAGACGATTGGCAACAAAAGTAAATGCCCTACTGTACTAAGTAAGAAGATTTCTGAACGCCTTTTAGCAGAAAATCATGTGCAACTCCACAATGAAATGTTGAGAAGCGAAACCTGGGATTTTTAAAAATGCTTTTGGGTTCATTGGTGTAAAAAGCTGTCGGAGCCAAGGTATAGGAATAAAACAAGTGTCCGGAGGCTGTCGGTGATTTGGGCATCATCTGCACCTTAATATACTTTCCACAGCTTCTAAAACCAGAAAAATCAGAACCTCTGCCTGCACTCCCACTTTAATCTTGAACCCACGGCCACAAAGATGGAGAGGTCTGAAGAGAGAGCAGTGGATAACTGGCCACAGAAATAATCAGAAATAATCACCCAAACACATCTGACAGTTCTGTGGACATTGGGAAAAAATCAAATTATTTAATAATATGCTTATTTAATAAGCATATTTCCAAACAACCATGCCAGAAACTACAGGATATGAGTTTTGCTTCTGCGGGGCGGGACCCGCAGATTTAATCTAAAGGTTGATTTCATACAAACATACTCACACCCCCAGCTCACTTCCAAACTGCCGGGTGGACAGAGCCCCTTCCGTCCTGGGACGCTATTCAACGCATGACCGTCAGCAGACCAGTAAGTCACAGGCCTCCAGCACCAAGAGGCACATCCGCCACCCCCCACCCCCAAGGAGGGGGCAGTTTTTCAAAAGGCAGTCTCTAACTAGACCTTAAGACAATGACCGAGAGAAGCAGGAAGGGTCCACAGGGCTTATATCGAGGATCCCCCATTACTCAAATGCCACACTAAATTCCAGTCCCCTCTGGCCCTTGCCCCATTCTCAGGAACACCAATCCACCCAGTCTGTTTTACTTTTCTTACCAACCTTTCCACTCCCTAGGCAAGCTAGAAATCCAAGGGATAACACTCTGAAATCTCCAGCTAAGAACTGGGCGAGGGAACCAGGGTAGAGTCCTAGAAACCACCAAAACCGTTCCAGTCTTTCCACACAGTTAAGAAAGCAATGACCCCAGGAAGCCAAGGCTGGCATTTAAATTCAGGACCTGTAAGGGGAACCCATCCAAGGAGGATACCCTTTGACAGAACCATTTTGGAGAAAGTCTGGGAAAAAGAAACAGGTTGAGGGGAGAGTGTAAATGAGAACCCTCGACATAACCTCTTCCAGGGAGGGAACGTGAACCCTGCACGTAAGGACACATTACCAGAAATACCAGGGCGGGCACATGAAAACCTAAGACAGCTCTCCTTAGGCGAGAAACCAGGACCTGAGTCAAGCGGGTATAAGAGCAGGTCTGCTATTAAAAGCACACCACCGCCGGCTGACTGGCCAGGAGCCCTGGTGCAGGGCAAAAGGCACTTGGAACACCCAGGCCCTCCCACCTGGGGAACCAAACACTCAGCACCGCCCGCGGCGGCGGCGGCGGCAGAAGAAGCAAGAGCTGAAAACATTGCACCCGAGTCAGCACCCCCACTCCAAATGTCCACGGAAAGGAGGCACACAACAGAAACCTCACAAAGAGCCAGGAAGCACGAAGAAGTGGGAGGCACACAGAGGCACACACACCCCCCGCCCGACACACACCCACACAAATGCACACAAAGAGGAAAGTGGGAAATCGAGGAAGGCGACTTGATCCTACCTTCTCGGTTTTCAGTTTCTTGATTCGCCTGTGGCTCTCCTCCTCCTCCTCTTCCTTCTTTACCAACACAGAGTTTCCCATGAGCCCTGAATCCGGGGCACTTTTGCTAACTTCCCCAGCAGCCGCGACGCTGCCACTCCCAGCGCCCCCGCAGTGGAAGGGGCTGGCGCCACCTCCATTGCTCTTGGCCCCAAAGCCATAGAGGTGCCCCCCGGAAGGGGCCTGGCTGCCACAGCCATTCTGGTGGCCCTGAAGCAGGTCGTGCTTGTCCTTCCTGGATTTCCCCGCATCCTTATCCCGCTTGGCGCCTCGGCTGCTCTGGCTTTTACCTGGCTTCTCCTCTTTGCTTTTCCCGCAGGAGGCCGCCCCCGCGGGGGCAGCGGAGGGGCCGGTGCCCGCACTACTGCCGTTGGGGTTGCCGCCGCCGCCGCCGCCGCCGCTCACACTTTGACCCAGCGCTGAATTCATGCCAGTTGCCTCTCCAGGGCGCCCTTGGACTTCCTGCCTCTTGCCAGTGCCGCTGATCTCGGGAATCCCATACAAGGCGGCAGAAGGCAGAGATTTATTACCATCCTTAGAAGTTTTACTCCTTTTCACTTTTGATTTGCTGGTCTCTTTGTGTGAATTCCCCTGGGGAGCGGAGGGCTGAACAGAAGCAAATTTTAGGCCATCAGCTAAGGCTGCGGTAGCACCGGCCCCACCGGAGGCCAGACCTCCACAATCCTTGGAGTTGCTGCTGCTGGTGGTGTTGGTGGAATTATTCATCTCAAATTTCTGTCTGTCCTTCTCCAAATCAGCGTCCAAATCAATGATTAGATTTCCAACCCCGATTTCCCAATCATCACCACTGTCATAAGTATCAACCGTATTTGGATCCACACCTTTTCCTGCAGCAGAAATGTTCACTGACATCCTGAAGATGGGCTCTCTAGAATAAAAATCCGATGAACTTTCCTTTGGAGATGAGGGGACATTCGTTTAGCTCCGCTGGGCTTTCTCTTAAAAAAAAAAAAAAAAAAAAAAAATCTTCTAATCTTCCTCTTCTTTTTCCTGCCCCAGGAATGTGTCCAGAGATTTTACACCCTTCAGTCCAGGTCCACCTTTTCCTGTGAAGGGGGGAAAAGTCGAATATTTCTTGTCTGGGTGTTACCAGAATAAAAAACTATTAACACTGGGGAGTCAGTAAGGGGCACAGGGAAGGATGGACAGAAAGGTGGTTCATATATTGTCTCCACAGTCGGGTTTAAAGGAAAATAACCAAACCCAAAAAACTTACCCACGACAGTAAGGATCTTAATAGTAGCTTAAAAAAAAAAAAATCCCTTTATCAACAATATAAGGATAAACACTTTTTTAAAGGCATTAAGATATCTTAAAGATCTGTGTCAAGTCCAGGAAGGTTTAAAAAAAAAAAGGTTAGGATATTTTTTTCCATACATGTGTTATCTCAACCCCAGAAACACAGCCTAAACACTCAAGACAAGAGAGAGGAACACAGCTTTAAACATCCCCAAACATGTCCTAGATCTTGCAGTTTCAAAGACCAGACCTTGGAAGTTCTCTGAGGCTAGTTTCAGAATGATGTTTCTAAATTATCTGTATTTCTAATTTGATTACTTCTTTTTACAAATCGTCTGGGCAATCTGTTTTTTGTTCCCAGTAAGGAACAGGAAAAACAATGAATAACTACCCCCCTCCCATAAACACATACCCTCTCTCCCCCAACAGTTTATACAATTTTATTTTTGAAATACACACACACGTCTTTATGAGCATTTCTCTATAGAAAAGACAGTGCGAAATAAAAGGCTGAGTACCTGCCTGTTGAGGGGAAAAAAAATCACATATAAACAATTCTACCGTATTCCTAGGTCACAGACTTGCTCAATCTGTTAAATATGGTGCCACTAACTGTACGGGGAAACTGATTAAGACATGCACTTTAAGTAGTCTGCGCCAAGGTGGCCTCAATGACCGCAAATGAGTGTGTGTTTGACAAAGATCAGTTAAAACGGTTTTTAAAGGGATCAGCCCCTTTTAACAGTTGATTGTCGAGAAAAATAAATAAATATACATACACACACACACACACACACACACACAGACATTGCTTACCTTTAATCCTTTATCATTTTTTAATTAGGCCAGCAAATCAAAATGCCTTTCCCACTCCACTCGGCAAACAAGCCTATGCCTCATTTTACTTAAACACCAAATGATCAAGAAGGAAGAAACCAAATAACACATCTCAGCCAGAATAATCACTCGATAACATTATTCCACCTCCCCACCCCCTTTTTGGCAAACGGATCAGGAGTCCTTTTCTCCTTAAAAAAATGTGTCACTGTACAGCTGGAAGATAATGTTTCACATTCACAACAGAAGTACCAAAGGTTTTTTTTTCCTCTTAACAAGCATCGAAAATAATAGGTTTAAAAAAAAAAAAGAAAAAGAAAGAGAGAGAGAGCTTAGAGAAAAAAGTTTTCCCAACTTCTCATTCCGCCTTCAGTTCCAGACTTCAGAGTCACCGTGATCAGTAAGTAATGATCCCATGTAGCAAACCTACAGGCGTCCGCTAGTAACAAGACAGAATGTGCTAACATCGGGATAAATTAGTGAAAGGGAAGAAAGAATAAGAAGAAACGACTGAAAATCTGGGCTGGATTCCGCCTGTTAGTCGGGAAGTGGCATTTTTCCGCCCGTCCTGACAGATTTGATTTCTTGAACTAACTTAAGAGGAAAGGAGGGGGACGAGGGGAAGGGGGAGGAGGGGAGCGGACGGGAGAGGAGGGGGAGGGGGAGGGGAAAAGGGGGAGGGGAAAAGGGGGAGGAAGAAAGGGTAGGATGAGAAGCCCAGCCAGAGGAGAAAAAGAAAGGTGTGGAGGGGGAGGGGAGCAGATGATTCAGTGAGCTGATAAACCAGTTATAACAGCATTCGTTCGGGGCTGGGGGCGGTGGGCGGTGGGGTGAGGAAAATAACGGCGTTTAAAATTGGTTCAGTCTTCGAAACCCAAAGGATGTGATGTTTTCCTGTTTTATGTTGTTTTAAGAAAAAGGAACCGAGTTCCTAGTACAGTCCCTTGGGGGGGGGGGGAATCCGCTGTCTCTCAAGCCAATCAGTCATGTGGTAATTCGATAATTAGAGTAAAAAAAAAAAAAAAGATTTTTTTTTTAAGGCGACCTTTTTCAGGACAGTTTTTCCCATTGATAGTCGCAGCAAACGGTGCGTCTCCCTTTTATTTATTTTTCTCTCCTCCTCCTCTCTCGCCCACCCCCTCCTGTGTTTAGTCAGATGGCCCCGGAGCTTGGCTTAGTATTTTTAATTAGCTGGCGTTTGGAAGCTAAAAGCAGTAATGAATTGTTGATGGATTGGAAGTGGAGAGTCGCTTTGCTGGAAATGTCGGGGCTGGGAGAGGGGGATGGGCGAGTTAGCAACAACCAACCATCTAAAAGGAGCGATTTTGTTACAGTGCAAGCCTTTCACATCACGTGAGGATCAAGGGCTCAATTGGTTGTCGTGAGAACAAAAATGGTGACAAGCGTATCAAGAAAATACTGATCTGGTCTTTAAAAAAAAGCTGAAGGTCTCTCCCCTCCCCCTGCATACACCCCCCCCCCCCCCCGCGCCGCCGCCTCCTCCCCGCGCCCCCACCCCCCTGCAGTGGGCGCAGCTACAAGTTATGAATGTGAAACATTTCTCGCAGATCTAGGCTCTCGGAAGTTCGAAGGAGTGAAATGTAATGAGCACAAGAGCAAAGCAGATGTTTTAAAGGAACACCTTATAAACCTTTCCTCAACTTATCTCCAATTTGTCGGCTTTCCCGAGGGGCCAGGGATGGGGACGCCCAGAAGAGGGAGGAGGGCACCTCCAAGCTACTTGGGTTTTAGGGACCCCTCTTGTCTTAAACAAAGAAAAACATTTTGCTAGCTCCCAAGCCAGGTCCTGTAATAAACACACCATTGTTACTCTATTTGTGGGTTTGTTTGGGTTGGGTGGGGCTCCCCCCTCCTTAATGGTGTTTTTGCTGCTTGCTTTTTTAAGGAGGTGGAAAATGGTAATTATAACCATTACATGTAATGGGTGACTATTCCCTTGTTTAATATTAAATTATTGGGCACTAGGATGTGGCAAGAGACAGAAATCGGCTTGTTCTGCCCTTGCCCCCATTTTCCTGGCTCGGTTTGGAAGAGGGTCTTGCCCAGCTAGGCTAAGAGAGGGAGGGGGCGAGGTGAGCTAGGGAATGGACACTACAGATCAGTATATGTAACTGTGTCACTTTTATTCTCCTTGGGTTACAGCCCAAAACGTAATTTACTCTAAGTTACCCCGAGTGCCCAGTCAAGCTTAATTTGTGTGAAGAAGTTACAAATGCTTCACCCTCCTCTGAATAAAATTCACCCTTCTTGGGCTGTTTTCTCAATGCAAAAGCCAAACCCTGTAACTAGTTCCTCATTTCAATGCATAAAACTCGCACATTCCCCTGCATGAAGTCCCCGCTAAGTGCTATATAGAGACACACCACGCAACCGTACTTACGGTCTGTATTGGATCGAGTTGACCTTTTCCTTCTAACTGCATTGAATGTGTTTGGTTGCAGCCGCTTTATTTTGGAAATTATAATCTCTTCAACAAATTTATTATTAAAGAAGATGGACCATCAAATGTCACAGACCGTCCTGTGTATTTTTTATAAAAGCAAAAATTAAAATTAAAAAGAAAAGAAAAATCCCCCTGGTGCACACACACACCACAAGCTTGTTCTGCAACACTGAAATCAGGACTGAAACACAACACACACACACAGGGGGAGTGGAGCAAAAGGAGCTCTCAGCCTCTATACCTGAAAGGGACTTTTCTTTGTTCCCATTGCCCTTTCGCATCAGGCCAATCAGAGAGCAGCTTTTATGAAACTGGGCTCTCTCATTGGCTAGCTGCTTTCTCTTGGCTACTGTAGGGGGTTGAGATATACACACGTATAAAACACACACTGAGAGCGGGTGGGGGTGCGGTGGGGGGTGGTTGTGGAGACAAAGCGTTTTATTTTCCAACCAGATTGGGGTTGAGGAACCTCCTGCAGTAACGAAGGGGGGAAAAAAATGGTGCGCCCGTTTCAATGACTACATCATTCACATAAAACACTTATTTATTAAAACAAATCTCAAACAGGCTGCGAGGAAAGGATGTCGGTAAATACAAGTTTGATTGTGTTATCTTGGGGGAAATAATGTATGTGATCGCTCGGTGGCAGAGGGAAGCCAAATGAGCCACTAGCGCGGAGCGAGGAGGAAAGGGGAGGCTGGCTGTGTGGAAATGACTGAGAGCGGTTTTTTTGCTGGCTTCCCTTCCTTGTTGCAAGGACTCGGCAGCGCGAACTCCCAAGACCGATTTTCTGTACTGCAGCTTTTGGCTTTCAACCCTCCCCCACCACTTTGCCCTTCTTCCAATTTTTTTTCTCCCCCAGTCGTCTCTCTTTTTACTCGCTGATTAAATAAGAAAAATCGATCTGGGGGTAAAGGCGGTGGTGGGGAAACAAGTAACCCTTTTGTTTCCAGTCTTCTGGTCTACAGGCACTCAAGTGTGAAGGCTAGCAACCATTTAACCACCACTACGGGAACGGTTCTTCCTGGAATTTGTAACAAATCTTTTCCACCTGGTCCGAGGCTGCACCAAAAAAAATTTAAAAATAAAAGAAGGTCCAAGCCAACCATATTGAACACCCCGGGCCAGCCTCTTTTTTTACAAAATCGATTTGTGGGAGATAAATATACTAGAAAGAATAACCCGTTAAACAGTCCCCCAGTGTGCATTTTTAAACAGAAAGATTGTCAGAGTTCCCCTCCCCCCCATCTTTAACCCTATCTTGGGGAAAGGGAGGTGCAAAGTCCTCTGACTGCCACACTGCTCAATCCACCCAGGAATACAGAAATATTTTAGAGTTTATTATAGGGCGGATGCCAAAAACCAAGTTAATGGGACTCTGAGGTCACAGAATAAGAGATGTTGTATAATATAAGTTCAGTATTGTACTGTAACAGCAAATATACTTAATGTGTATAAATATATAAAGACTTTAAAGTACCTTTATTTTTACTTTTTCACTGTTACTTGCCATTCCTTTTAGGAGCTATGATGTGGAGATTTTAAAGTCAAAATGCGATCTGAGTTTCATCGGAAGCATTATGATCCCAAGCATTAAAGAGCCAGCACTACTGTAATTTCCACATGACAAGTGTAATGCAGGAATGTGTCTTCACTGAGTCGAATGGACATACAAAGTGGATTAGTGCTAGCAAAAGACAGCTTATGACGTAAATGTTCAGTGATGACTTTGTGGGTCAATAAAAATATTTATGTCACATGTTTTAAGTAATGTCTATTGATTCATGTTTGAGCTTTCAATATATTTAGTTCTAAAAAAAAAAAACCTCCAATTAGTTGTTTCATTGACCACGATGAACTAAATTTGATGGGCCAACAGTAACAAACAGCAGTTCCCACCCTTTCCTGAGGTCTATAAACCAGAGGAATGAAATCTAGAATAGTCCTTGTCTCTCCCTAAATAGATCTGCATGTAAATCAACATTGTACATCAACAAATGAAGGAGTCAATTAACCACCTGATAACCACACATGCTCCATTTTAACTTTGATATTTGTTTTGTATTTTTGAATGTACATATTTTAGAATTTTTTTTATGTCCCATTGATAATAACACAGCACCATAAGGTGATTTAAAAAAAAAAAAAAAAAAGAACCTTTTCTTCTTTTGGAAGAGTGGTTCCTCACACCTCCAGATCACTCTTGGGCACCTCAGGGTCCCCAGGGTATCTACTCCATTTCAGCTTCTGGAAGACCATGGCTACCCTATATATTACATCACCTCGGAAAAATCGATCACCAGCTCTGATAACAACTGGATTTCAAAAAGCTCAGAAAATGAGATCTGAAGTTGGTGAAGTTGGAAAGGGTACAAGCACCCCTCCAGCACACTCCCTTGGTAAAAAGCAAATCACAAGGCATAGATTTGAGTATGACTAAAACCAAGGCTCAGGCTTCCTAACACTCAAACAATCTGATATAACCCTAACATTAACCCCTAACACTAAATCTTAAACTTTTTTTGCTAAGGAAGCCCCACTGGCCAAAGATAGAGGCTTAGGCCAAACTCAGTCAACATATTTAACCCAAAGCATTTTCCTCCTATTCCAACAGAGCCACACTCCATTGGCACCCCACCCCCATCGCCGGCCCTCCGCATTCTTCCCGAAGATTTGAATAAGCCGGAGTTGTTATGCTCGCTTTGCGTGTGTTTGTTTTGTTTTGTTTGACAAAGGGGGCAATCAAGAGACCTCAGAGGGCTATCAGCTAATTGATGAGTGAAACTAAGATAATTAACTACCGGCTTTAGAAAATCAGAGCTACACCCCTCACAAAATTGGGAAGTTCGTTATTTTGGAGAAGAAAAATGTATCTTCTCTTCGGGGATAACAGGAATATGCTAGACTCCCTACTAATATCCCATGCACAAACTCGGTAATACCAGTTCGCTATCGGATAATATGTGCACTTTATAATTTTACATTTTAGGGCCCGTCTCCTCAGAGATGTGGTAGAGGAGAGGAGCAAGCTGGAAAGGAGTCTAGAGGGAATGGAACGGATGGAAGTGTAGTGTAAAGGGGGCTGTTAAAGCGTGTTAGCCTCCAGTCACCACCACCAACAGCCCTGCCTTGGACATTT